CAAACTAGTGTCCGTTAACGCTGCCTCCTGTGATCGATGAGTTTGTGGAATCGGTCCTCCTGAAAGCACTGAGATATCCACGTGACAAGCACAAGTGCATTGGTAAAACAGATAGTATTCATCAACAAAATTGGCTACAAATAGCCCAAAGATTGCACAAACAAATAAAACTAGATACTGTTTATTAAGTAGAGCCTTGGCTTCAAATTCTCGGGCTTTTGAAGATAAACACTTGCTTGTATAGAGTGTCACAAACTTTAGCAACTTTGCACTTGTGATGCACTCCTAGGATAGATCGGTAGACTACTTTAACCACGTTCCTTAATTAGAACAGCTTGAGATCACCAGTAGAACATATTCCTGCTTTGTGATGGGCAGCACATAGGCATCTAGACATCGACTAGTTTCACAAATGGGCTATCGTGAGTTAACTCTTCCTGTGTTATATGCTTCGCTGATGATGATGATGCTGATATAATATTTAGAGTCCGCTAGTTTAGCAGACTACCAGATAGTTCAGGACGACTTCTGGAAGTTTTACGGCGGCTAATCTGAAATATGCCACCACTTGTCCTGGATAGCCGTGCAGTGCTGTTTGTATGCACCTTCAGTATGCTTACATGTGTAAGTTTTCAACACAGTCTACATGCCTTATTCAAAGGATGAGACATCAATGTCGGCTGGGTCAGAAATCTGTCCAGCCGGCCAATCAGTGACACTGAAGGACAAGTCTTCATCCAGGGACTTGATTAGAAATTCAAAGATGTTGAACACACGGAATTCCTTACATCCCTCTATGCGTGCGTAGGCAATTCGTGAGAACCCTGGCTCCCCTTGGCCATCTGTCACGCACTTAACAGTTGATGCCACGACTACAGTCGTGTAAACAAATCGAAACACGGCTGTAACGTCAATTTTCTACCCCATTCTTACTAAGTTTCGTAACCTGAATATGTTAGCTATTTTAATGTGCTGTATTTAGCCTGATGATAAATCACTGAAAAAGAGCTTGTTTGCTATGATGACTTTCACGGTATTCGGAAATGCTTTACAATCCAATGGAATCTACGATCGGATCAGAACGTAAAAAAGGCATGCCGTCGTTCCACTCCTGCCACGCAATAAATAACACAATACCCAGTCACAACAAGAAAAGAACGCCATAAAAGCCTTGAAAGCCAACGAAACTGTCGTAATCCTGCCCGCGGACAATGGGCGCATGGCTGTTGTAATGCACAAAACAGATCACATTGAGAAATCATGTCGTCTCCTGGACGACACAACACCTTACTACCGCGTGAATAGCGACCTCACAATGCAGTTAACGAATAAAGTGAATAGGACACTGAAAACGTTTCAGAAATTGAACCAACTTCCAAAGAATACGGTAGAATGAAGGCTTGTGAACCAAAGACCGCATAATTTTACGGACTTCCGTAGGTACACAAGAAAGGTGCACCGCTACGATTAATCATGTCACTTCCGGGTACTCCAACTTATAACCTGGTTAAAGAATTATGGAAGAGCCTCAACATCTGACAAACGGCTCGCAGTACTCTATAAACAATGCTAATCAATTTTTATGGAAATTCGGGGGAGTATGAATAGAACATTTAAAAAATAATAATGTCCTTCGACCTCACCGCCTTGTTTACCTTAGCCAACACACAAGTGATGAAAGGTAGTATCAGAGGAGGTTTGAACAGTGGAGGACAAAACATTGGGAATTTGATGACGGATAACATTTGTAAACTTCTCGACTTAAGCATTACCATATACTTCGAATTAAACGGTATATTCTACGAGCAAGTGAAAGGAGCCCCAGTGGGACTCCCCATATATGGACTCATTGCGGAGACCGTCATGCAGAGGTTCGAAGAGAGTCTGCTCTTAGTTACTAATCAGAATTTTTGGAGTCAACGGGTTGTCGATACCATTGTGATTGTCAAACGCATTCAGTTGTAGAGGGCATAAGGGTTATTGAACAGTGCAATGAACAGCATTGGTTTCCCCGTGGAATCAGAGCATGAAAACCTACTTCCTTTTTTGGACGTTTTAGTTTTCAGAACAATGAACGAAGAACTACCTATCTCGGTTTAAAGGAAGGGCACGCACACTGGCCACATCCTGAACTTTAACAGCAATCATCCAAAATGCCACAGGACAAGCTGCATCAGTACCCTATTTCGCAGGATCGAATCCTATCGCGGTACCACGGGTGCATAACAGAAGGAAGATGAGCATTTTTGGGTCCTTCAGACGCAACGAGTACCCACGCAGTTTCATCCGAGGGTACATTAATCCAAAAAAGACCAGTGTCACAACTACACCAATACCATGAAACGGATTGTTTTGCAGTATGTGAATAACGTCTCGGAACTAACTGCCGGACTACTCAAAATACATCACCTAATGGTGGCTCACAAACCAACAGCTACGTTGAAAAGAACTCTGCATAAGCCAAAAGAAAATGTAGAAGCACGTGAGCAACGAAATGTCGTGTAAATGATCCAATGCCAAAACAGTGCGAAAAAATATATGGACCAAATAGGACAAAATTTGGTCACGAGACTAAACGAACACAAACATACCTTTGGAAACCATTGCGCGTCCTCTTTGATTTTGATACACATCGATGAAGAAGGACACAACGCTGAGTGCACTGTGAATTAGCTTATAGCATTCACAATACCGACATTGTCTAGTGCCTTTCTTCTGCCTGTTATTGTGGTTTCTGCTGCCTTCTCCAGGTGTAAACAACTGGTGCAAAGCGATGCTACAATGGCGGTCAAAGCTGAGGGACCACTGAACTTCTGGTCCAGTGAAATAAACAAACTTATGCGGACACCGTCCGTCTGTGTGAAACGCAGTAACCTCGGTCATTGTGGCACAAACCATTATACGAATGAAACCAAGCGCGGTATCAACACTGAGCATAGCGTAGTAGTCGTGTTGGAGCAGCAAGGATAGGTACTCATCACACATGGCTTTTGTGAAAACGCTGAATGATGAAATGATACGGCATGATCATGACCCTGGTCTGACACTGCTACATAGTACACAAGAGATATCGCACAATGGTCTGTACCGCGTAGATAGCGATTAGTACCCTTTAAATACTTCAGCGGATTTCTGTGATAGATGAAGTCACCACTGGACTTTGGAGTGCAAGGTATAGTAGTGCGTAAACGTAACCAACACCAGTTAATCGAGAGGTAAACGTCCTGGAATTGTCAAAGTGGAATTCTAGGTGGACTGACAGAATTCTTGTAACGCTACAAGGCGTTTGGAAATTTAAGCTACGCGTTCCCCACCGGAAAATTCAACAAAAGACCAGATGCGGACCTGAGAAAACGGTGCTATTTGTACAAATTCATCGTACCAAAGTAGAAATTACCTTAACGGTTTTCCAAACACAAAAGTTTACCAACTGATTTCAATCAGATCCACAAAAGGTCCGTAAGCCAAGGTGCACACGAAACAAATGAACACAGAGGTGAGACCGAAGTTATGATAAGGCAATTGAGCCAATCGTAAGCGTCCGCCCACGGGAACGGGCTGAGGACAGACAGACCTGCCACACTGGATACATGAGTTGTGGGAACACAAAATCGCTTATGTCAAGAGAACAATGACAGGTCCATGGGGGTGGGGTGAAGTTAAGATGAGTCACCGGGGTCACTCGCTAAGAGCATTGGGGCAGAGAACAAAGGACTGGAAAGTAAGGGAGTTAGCAAACATAATCGATCCAGACGGCCGAGCAATGTAGAATTGGGCATTCAACATGGGAGAGACTGGGGTGGTCAAAGTTCTTTCTACAATTCTGTTTTCGAACTTCATAAGAACAAGGCAACAACTTTCGATACTCTGTATGAATCGAGGCGGACTGTCAATCCCATTGCGTTTAATTCAGCTGGCGGCGAAACGGAATCAGTGGCGATCGCTCGCTAGTGCGGCACTTTGGTAAGATAAGTATCTGTACTAGTAGCTAATTTGATTGCTGTTCGCTTTGGACCGGAAGGCAAATGAAGCTTCTTGGGTCGGTCAACCTAACATTACTATGAGAAAAGAATCCCAGAATTCATGAGGTAGAAGTTGTTGTGGTATGAAACGCATTACAGCACTACAGCTGAGGTGTTTCCCACGTGTAACTAACGTGGAAAAGGTTGATGATGACGTAAAACGCCTGACAACAGTAAATGTGGTCGGAATGGTCTACCATGATGTCTTTCACGAGGCAGGTCTAGCTGCTCATACTCAAATAAAGGTAAGCAACGCGTGTTCCAACCACAAGTGTGCTCCGACCTTTGTGTGTATAAGTAGCGCGGATGTGTTCTCTTAAGGACGATGACTTCACCACAATGGATGACGTCACAATTATAAAGTAAGTCTGCTTATACCTTTTATTTAAACAGTTAAGAGGAAGCGTCCCAAATGTCATCAGTTTCCCTTCACACCCCTCTTACCGTAGGTTTTACAACGGAAATGACTACGTTATTATTTCTGAATTACTGGGCACTTAGTTTGGTGTGTACCTTGCGTGCGACAACGTTTGAGACCAAACACGGAAGAAGCAGGGGCTTCTGGTCTAGTTACAAAAACAATGTAATGATTACATCAGAGGTTTTATCAGTCTGGATTTCGTTTCGCAATATGTTAAAACGCTAGTGACCGAAGTACGAGGAATAGCTGTTACTGGAATCTTCTACACAACTTTTTGCCTTATTCATGAGCTGAAACAGACCGGGAACAGGGTTGTTTCGTTTGATCTCTCCCGCTTACTCTTCTCAAATACTTGTGGTAGAAAAACGACTGGCTTTTGCTGAGAACCAAGCGTGCTTGGTGGACCTAGTCCTTTGTCTTTGTTGTTACTATGTGCTTCGACAGCTTTAATGACGTCAATCCATTTTATCCCTGTGCATTATACGTGTAAACCACAAGTAATCACGTCGCACTGTCACTCGTATGGTAAAATTCCAACCATTGTATTTTTCTTTCAGTATTATCGACCTGATCACACTGAAATTGAGGCTGCAACACCTGATTTGGAGACACAAAAATATCAAAATTATTGCAGTACTCTCGTCTACCTGAATACGGCATTTACTGCCATGTTCACCATGGAGTGCTTGTTGAAATTGGTGGCCTTCGGACCAAAAGTGAGTATCAGCAAAGAATTAGTGTATTCAATCACCAGTCTAGCAATAAATTGCTTTGCCACTTGGACGTTTTGTAGTTAGAAGAGACCTGGGTTTGCAATTTATCTACACGAGTTTTATCATGCTTAAGCTCACTAGCACGCCATTAGAGGACTTTGAAAGCGCTTACGAAGGAATGACCATCATTCATCATCCTCTATGCTGAGGGATGCTCCAAAGCAGAAGACAAGTTTGTTTATGAGCCTACCTGATGCGTATCATTAGGTGGCGTGTGTGGTTGGTGAGGCAACTCGTGAGAAAGAAGTCAGCTAACAGTGTGGTGTGAGCGCGAAAAGTAAGGCGATATCATTGTCCAATGTAGCTGATAACAAACTGAAAAGGGGATAGCTTCGTTTCCTCCGCCTAACACGATAGATAAGGTAGGTGTGGATCTCAATTGCTCTTACTAAATTCTCGACTAAATTAATAACTTCTGGATCTCATACATTGCTTCCTTATCACAAGTGGAAGAAATTAACAAGTTTTTTAAATAGACAAAATACAATATTATCTCACATTCCAAAAAGCAATAACTCCAAGGTTAAAGGGATCTTCAATCGCTCAGGTCTGGCATCACTTGTTAAAACTATTGTTGCATTGCACCTATTAGAAGACGTCCTTATGTTTAATGTCCTGTTATGTCAGTTCGGAAATAATTTTCGATATGTTGCATACCTCAATCAATGAAGGTTTGCAAATCAATATCGCTGTTGTTCGTTCATTACGAAACAGATGCTTTGAGAGTACATGAATTGAACCCTACTGATTAACACGTACTTGGGAACGTGCAGCCTTAATGTGCGAACAGTGACGGTGATAATTCTACACTTCTTGACGTTGGATGATTACACAACGTTTTACATTGGTCCTGTGCGTTGTCTGTGCAGTAGAAATCTACTTCTAAACATCCATGTTGATGGTTTAGTGAAACACTAAGTTGCGTTAGGCATCTGTACGTAGCGTCACATTTGGCACTAACGTGGTGAATAACTGCAATTTTCCAGTCAAGTTCAGCTGAAGCATGCTGGATATTTCCAATTAAGCGTTTTATATGCGAACATTTCCTCGTCAAGTTAGACATCAGACCTTAAAAGCTGCATCTATGCTGTAAACTAGACTGATAACGAAAAGTCTGCAACGAAAACGTCCAACTCGGAGTGCTGCACAGCACACCCCCCCCCACACACAGTTACGCACATAGTTCATAACTTCTATGATGTATACCGTTGTACTCGCGTACACCGTTACTTGCGAACCATTGTAAATATTTTGTGATGAATTATGTTATACTTTAGGTAACTACACTTTGCAACAAAAGATATTTTCTATAACAGAAACGCCCTTGTAAAATACACTCCATTGATCGTAGAAATATAATCCAATTTTACCTAGCAAATCAGGTTACACCGTTATAAGCCCATGATTATTTTCAGTAATGCCAAAACTACACCGTACGAATGATATGTAAATGTACTAAATCACAACATATACATAATGCATCTATGTAGCAAATCCGTTTAAAACATCACTGCAACAATCGCCGCTAACTACTGACTACAGTTTGGCACTTGGAAATGATGACTTCACCGAGATCGTCGCTTGTATGATCCAGCGCCCTCAAGCTGCAGAAACCAACAAAAAGCACGCACCATAGCAGGCAAGGACTTGTCACTGTAGCGCTGTTCCATCACTGGATGGTCTCGGTGAAAGCGCTCACCATGCTTATCGCTAACAAATCCTAAGTTATCAGAGAAAAAGTAAAGGTGATTATACAAAAAGTGCATCTTGGCTGACATTAGAGCATCAACAGCCCGATAGTCCGCAGTGAGCTTTTTGTGATACCTTTGCAGTTCTCCGCCTTCGTTCTGCCCAAAAATCCTGTACACACTGCCTTGAATGATCGCCATGCTTCTAACTCAAATGAAGTCAACTGGAATTCGAAAAGCACTGCCTGCCATTATCCGAGGAAGATCAGGCCAAATAACTATGTTTTCTTTGAGCTTCATATCACTGATCTTCAGAAACACTTGTTACAGATAGTGGAATGCAAAACCATCTCGCTTGAGGCTTTTGACAACCTTTTTGACCGAACCAAACTTGATGTGCATTGGTGTTCATCATCATTCATCATTATACACATCAGCTAGAGGTGGGAAAACACCTCCGCTATTGTGCCGCAATACATGAGACAAATGGTTGGCGGCATCCGGTTTCGGATTTGCCGGTCACTGTGGCAAGTCACAGGACGCCTGCGCCTACAGAGGGACCATGGATGGCTTGCGCTGCACCACATACACACATACATGTAACACAATACACAAAGGAAAAAAGATACAACAGTTGCATGCCAGCTGAGATACCAGCAACGGATACGCATCGTTCCGGTAAGCTTCCAGCCAGCTACTAGGCAAAAAGAAAAATTTTAAATTATGTTTTACCCTAGGAAATGAGATCGTAGATGGAGAGGAATACTAAAAGGGATGGGGAGGGACAAAGAAACTCACAGCAGGAACGCCACTGAGGTCGGCTCCTCGCCATGTCAGCAAGTGTATCTAGCCAAACGTGTTCACTGTCTTTTGGACTCCAACCAGGGAGCCGTGAGGCTCCAACCGAGGCTAGCTCCGAAGTGATGGACTTCATTCCCCTGGACCAAGTCATCGCTTGGCCACCTCTCCTCTTCTTCCACCCACATCCCCGGTGAGCAAACAACGCACGTCGAGGGAGTCGGTGGGCTGGCATGCGTAACACGTGACCAAGCCATCGGAGTCTGGTGCGGGAAATAACGGTGCTGAGCGGTTCAGATCCTTTTCCTGGGCCGTAAACAAGGCGTCGAACACGCTCGTTACTCACGCGGTGTTCCCACCAGATTTGAGCCAAACTGCGAAGGCACCGATGGTCGAACGTAGCTAGCCTCTTCATGTCCGCCGATCTTAGGGGCCAGGTTTCGCAACCGTACAGTAAGGTCGAACGTACCGCTGCATTGTACACTCTACCCTTCAGGGCGAGAGTGATGTCGCGCCGCCGCCATAGGTGTGGGACGTTAGCAAAAGCACTTCGAGCTTTCGCTATACGGTTCGTGATCTCGTCTCCGATCCCAAGGGCGCTGATACAACTTCCCAGGTACTTGAATTTCTGAACGACTTCCAGCTGATCCCCACCAAGGGTCAGCGCAGGAGGCAATCCCTGCCAATCTTGGAGGAACGCTTTGCATTTCGATGGTGCAAAGCAAAGCCCGAAGCGGCTGACAGCCAGTGCTAATCTGTCCAGCGCGGCTTGGCACATCTGGGAGCTGTCACAGATGAGAGCAATGTCGTCTGCATACTCCAAGTCAAGAAGTCGTTCTCCTGGGAGTAGCTCCACACCTTCTAAATCGTGTGCTGTAAATGCAATCTCCATGACTTCGTCAATAGCGAAGTTGAAGAGGAAAGGTGACAGCGGGCATGCTTGTCTCACACCGCTGGAGATATTGAAGGGTAGCGACAGCTTGCCGTAAGCCCTCACTCTGCCCGTGCTACGCGCATATAATGCTTGGATGATATTTACATATTTCTCGGGCACACCTTTCCTGAGTAGACAATTCCAAAGGGCACATCGATCAACCGAATCGAAGGCACCTTTGATGTCGAGGAACACGACAGCGGGGGGCCGCCAATATGTGTGGCGGTGCTCCAACAACTGACGCAAGGTGAAGATGTGGTCGATGCAGCCACGACCCCGACGAAACCCGGCTTGCTCCTCACGAATCTGGCTTTCACGAGCGCCAGTCAGTCTGTGAAGAATTGTGGAGGCGAGTAATTTGGAGGCGATGGAGATCAGACTGATTCCTCTATGGTTGCCGCATTCCGAGCGCGAGCCGCCTTTGAAGATGGGAACAATAACGGAGCGGCTCCAGTCGGTTGGGACAGTCTCTTGCTCCCACAGTTTCACTAGTAATTCATATAAAGCATCAACAAGAGCAGAGCCTCCGAATTTGAAGTAGGCTGGAGGAAGATCATCTGGTCCCGCGGCTTTGTTCAACTTCAACAGTCCGATCTCACGATCGACTTCTGAGCGAGAGGGTGGATCCAAAGGGACACCCAACGGAGCAGGGTGATCAGTGACCGGCGAAGATCGAATAATTCTTGCCGATTAAATTGCTTTTCAAAATGCTCAGCCCAACGCTCCAGACGTTTTGACAATTTGTGGATAGGCTGTCCACTCTCATCACAAATTGTTTCATTATCACCAGGTCTCCTGCTGCCCGTTACCCGTATCAGACAGAATAACTTCCGATGGTTACCAAGGGCAGCGGTCACCTCCATCTGTGAGACACTATGAGATCCCCAAGATTCGCGGTCTCTCTTCAGGCTAGCACGGAGTTTTGCCCGGAGCTCTTTGTGTATCTCATTGTGTTCGTTTCCAGCCGGGGTATGCCAGCGAGCGTCGATAAGTTCCAGAGACCGCGAAGAGACCCAATATCCATGTTGGCTATTAGACATACCACATGAGGATTTGTCTGCTGTTAGTAAGGTCTGGCGAACATGTGACCAGTGGCTATCAATTGTCTCCAGTGAGCGATTACTCAACTCGCATTTCAGCGTACTTCGATACGCATTCAGAACAGCTGGCTTTGTCAGTTGGCTGGTGTCAATGCGCTCACAGCGTCGTCGTGGGCGTCCGCCAAAATGCATCCGTATGTCAGCACATACAAGTGCATGATCGGTGTCCACACATGTGCTCCAAATCGAGCGACAATTTTGGATGCAGCCTCTCCAGCGGTAACTAATAGCAATGTGATCGATCTGCGTCCAAGGCTGGTTCGAGGCTGGTGGGCGCCAAGTCACCCTCCGGCGGGTGTTGGTGTTAGACAGATATGATCAGGTTGCACAAGAAGTGTATGCTTTACATTCATTTTATCTGCGGCGGACTCCGTCCTCTCTGGCCACTTTTCGATTGTGTAATGCTGTTGAGTTGCTCTGCTATCCGATAAGCTCAAGGAACAGTAATATTTCGTGTGATCTTGTATACCTATTAGGAGTCCAAGGAATTTGAAGTCAGCACAG